GCAGTGCTCTTAACCTCTGAGCCATCTCTCCAGCCCGAATTCTCTTTATTTCCTAAGGGCTGAAGCTGGGAGGCTGAAGAAGATGTAGAGCACCAAAGCCTACTTGTTTCTCTAGTTCTGATCTAGCAGAGGCCTAACCAGGCCTGTGTCTGCCTCCCCTCCTGACTAGCCCTAAGGCCCCGCCCCCTCCTGAGTAGACCAGAGGCCCCGCCCCCTCCTGAGTAGACTAAGGCCCCGCCCTCTGTCAGCATCACTTTCCCCCTCTGTAGGCTGAAGACCACAGTGGAGCAGCCAACATGAGAGACAGCATTTGGGTGTGGACAAAGACCCTGGGGATTAGAAGAATCCTGGGCGTTTCATGTCCATGACGTAGGAATGTGGCTCCGCACCAGGCACTGCTTCTTCTGTTTCCTCTTTTCTTCTGGAGAGGGATGAGGGGTAGCCTTTGTGAGAGGCATGTCTGAATAGGGAGGTCATCACCTGGGGGTAGGGGGTGTGGGGGAAGCATTTTTCTTTAAGCAAAAAAACTAAAAAAACAAAAATTTCGTTAACAAAGGAACTTACAACAGGTGGTGGTGGTGGCGGCGGCGGCGGGGGCGCACGCCTTTAATTCCAGCACTCGGGAGGCAGAGCGAGGAGGAGCTCTGTGAGTTCGAGGCCAGCCTGGGCTACAGAGTGAGTTCCAGGACAGGCTCCAAAACTACACAGAGAAACCCTGTCTCAAAAAACAAACAAACAAGCAAAAACAAAGGAACTTACATAATTTTAAGAGCCAGTCAGTTCCAGAAGCATCTGATGGAAACCAGCTCTCCCTTCTCACTTTCCTGTGTTCCTGTTTCTCCACATCAACATCCTCAGCCGGAAGCTGCTGCTTCTAAGATTTACCTATATTTCTTCCTTTTTCTAAAAAAAAAAATTATTTATCTATTTTTATTTCGTTGCATTGGTGTTTTGCCTACATGAATGTCTGTGTGAGGGTGTCAGATCCTCTGGAATTGGAGTTACAGACAGTTGTGAGCTGCCGTGTGGGTGACTGGGAACTGAACCTGGGTCCTCTGGAAGAGCAGTCAGTGCTCTTAACCACTGAACCATCTCTCCAGCCCCTTACCTACATTTCTAGATAACATATGATTGTATGATTTTTTTCTTCCTTCCAGTTTCTTTTATTTTTCTTTTTTTTGGTGATATTGGGGATTGAAACCAGAACTTAGTGCTGCTGGCATGGTCTCCTAAGAGACTGAATGCCATCGAATAAGGATTTAAATGTCACTAATCCTCATTTTCCTAACATAGTTCCCTATCTTACCTTTTTAATTTGAATGTATTCTAATTTTTAGCTAAATTAATAATCAATTTTTACATCATTATTAGTGTGAAAACTGAGCTCAGGAGGAATGTAAATAGTGTAAATAGGGATGCATAATGAGTATCAGGCCAGCCCAGTCAGCGCTACAAAGCAAGGCTATTTAAGAAAACTAATTTAGAGAAAAAGAAAGAAAGAAAGGAAAGCAAATTTTGAGGAGAGAAAGTTGAGGAGAGCCAGAGGATCAGTGAGTCAGATGTGAGATTACATCGCCTAGAAATGTCAGAGAAGCTACGTGCATGAAGTCTCACCAACAGGGCTGCGTAAGCAGGACCACACCAATAGGCATGGTAACACTGGAGGGGGAAGGAAGCCGTGAGGTCTCAACCCCAGACAAAGAACTACAGGTGATTACGGAATCTTAGAGGAGCAGGATAAACGGTCTTCCCCAGAAGAGCACGCCAAATGATCAGCCCTAAAAACATACAAGTAACATTATGTTGACTGAACAGGTTGTATTTATATATTCAGGAATGTGTACACACACACACACACACACACACACACACACACACACGTAACAACAATTAAAGAAAAAGAGGCTGGACTTAGAGAAATAATAGCTCAGAGGTTAAGATCATGTACTGTTCTTGTAGAGGACCAGGGTTCAGTGACTGTCACCCACATGTGTTGCTCATAACCATCAATAACTCCAGTTCAAGGGGATCTGACCTCCTTGGGTAACACACACACACACACACACACACACACACACACACACACGGTGTACAAGTACACACAGGCATAACATTGATACATATAGACACATAGAATGTAAATCTAAAAGAATTAAAAAGAGGCCATGCATTTGAAAGAGAGCAAGCAAGGGGTTGTAGGAAGGAAATGCAGGGGGAGGGTGATATAATTATACTCTCAAAACTTAAAAAAAAATTAGCCGGGTGGCATATGCCTTTATTCCCAGCATTTGGGAGGCAGAGGCAGATGGATCTCTGTGAGTTTGAGGCCAACCTGGTCTACAGAGAGAGATCAAGGATAGCCAGAGCCACACAGTGAGATCCTGTCTCAAAACCCCACCCCTCACCCCCAAAAAATTAAGTTT